GAGGGAGGGGGGAAAATGAGGAGCTGATGCCAGGGGCTTAGGTGGAGAGCAAATGTTTTGAGAATGATGAGGGCAATGAATGTACAAATGTGCTTCACACAATTGATGTATGTATGTATGGATTATGTTAAGAGTTGCATGAGCCCGTAATAAAATGATTTAGAAAAACACAATTACACAAAGGAACCCTGGCAGTACAGAAGGGTAAGCACTCGGCTATTAATTGGAAGGTTGGAGGCTTCAATAGTCTCAGTGCCTTAGAAGGAGAAAACATCTGGGGATCTTCTCCCATAAAACATGCAGCCTAGAAAACCTCACCAGGCAGTTCCATCTGTCACAAGGGGTAGCTGTGAGTGGAAACCAACTCAAGGACACCTAACCACCACAATGATAAAAGGTCCTCATCCTATGTACACAGCCTACAAATCAGTAGGATTTACACATCCTACAAAACCACTGGCACATAAATAAACTCTCACAAGAGAAAAAATACTATATGAAAAAGTCAACAACTAAAAAATAAAACAATTAACAAACATCAAACAGAAAGCCTTTTGCGACACGTTAACCTGACTTCTGAACTATAAGGTAAATACCCTTAAATACAGCAAAGGCTTCATATATCAAAGATATTTTAAAAATAAGATCATGCATTAGGTAATTTAAAAAATTGTTAAAGATGTATATACTACAATCTCTTGAAAGAAAAATACACACACAAATACAGCATCATCGTATTAACCAAACATTTTAATAATCATTTGAATAACATGAAGTAATGCTTATATGTTAATGTCCAGTAAAAAATCAGCATGTTTATCAAACAAATAGAATCACAACTGTATACAAAAAGAAAGCAGAACAAAAACAACCCTATTTAAAAATATGAATATTCATTAATGTTTTATTGGCAGTATGAAGTCTTAATATTCTCTATTTACTTCTCTGGTTTCTAAGACCCATTGCTATGGCTATACAGAACTCACAGACAAAATTCATGATTAAAGGATTTATTAATGAGAGTCACAAATTGTGATGTCAATGTGAAAGGCTCATGGGTGAGTTGTGTACCAGGATATATTACAAAATTCTATCAAGTCTGCTAACAAATGTTTAAAGGGGCACATCACTCTGCTAAGAAAGCCTAGCAGCACCCCACTCCTTAGCCTCAACCAGAAGGCACCCAGCTCCATTTCCATGGGCCAGTAAGTGCAACTTCCCCAAATAAGCGCCCAGAGGAAGCCCACACCACAAGCTAGCCTGCACCCATGATGGTGTAGCTTTCTTCTGGATTCAGGAGGCTCAGTTCGCAGGGATCTTGGTTCCATGGGATGGGCTCCATTCCTGGCTCTTGCTGGTAATGAAATCCCTCCTCCTGCTTTTCAGAGGGCTCATTTTACATACAGCAGGATGACACTCCAGGGAGTCTTGTTTGCAATTGCTAATGGGTAAATGCTATCAGAATTTCTTACCAGACATTCTTACCAGCCCCATGCAGGGAAAAGTTGTTTGGTTGGGGTTAGAGACTTTAGCTAGAAAAGCCACATGAAATAATTCTCTGCCTCTGCAGTAGTAAATATAGAATCTGCTATTTTATTGAGTACCATAAACAAAATAAAAACCAACCCATTCTTAAACTGATTAAAACTCATGGAGAACTCCTAAGTTAGGAACTAGAACAGCTCCACAGTTTTCTTGGTTGCAATCTGTGCAGACGCGACTGCTGGTCTTTCTTCCTTGGCACCACTACCAGGTGGGTTCAAAGCTTTGAGAGTAGAGGACAAGTGCAAACAGCTTGTACCACCTGGAGACTTGACCTAGTAAATAATTATAAATGAGGTCACCAGACTACAATCCAAGGTGTCTTTACAAAACATATATATGGTCACTCACTTTTTCATCTGAGTGATTTCAACTTACTGCTAAAAGATTTAGACATAGGGGGGTGAGGGTGTTGTAGAAAAATGAAATTGAGATAATAAAATTTGTCCAGGAGCTTTGTGAAGCTCCCTTCCCTTACAATTAACAAAAACTTACCACATGAGTAGTTTTTAATGTACTGCCATCAAATCTGCATAAACTGGAGCTCTCCTCAAAGAAAACGTCACATTCTTCCAACTCCTGCGCATTACAGGGAGGCTTTTCTTTGTCTGGATTTGGATTCTTAAAACAAAAAATAAGTAAGTGGATAAGTAATGATAACAAATTGAGATACTAATACTTAGAAGTGTAGAAATCATAACAATAATTAACCAATTCCAGACCCACAGCCAATGAAAACAAAATATAAAACAAAGCAGAAATGACGTAATGATGAAACTAGCAAAAAAGAACTTTGAAATGGCCACTATAAACATATTCCACATGATTAGATACAAAATAAGCCATGAACATTATAAAATGGAAAATATGTAATTTCAGCTTCTACATATAAAAATACCTGAAATGAAAATTTAAAAGATAGGATTGATAACTCATTAGACAGTACAGATAGTGGTAAGCTTGAAGATGCCACAATAAAGATTATTCAATATTAAGCACAAACACTGAAAGCAAAAACAAATTTTAAAAGTTGGTCCAATATTAAATAGCCTAACATGTAGACAACTGGGAGAGAGAAAACAAGAAAAAAAGATCAAAAAATAATGGCTAAAATTTTTCCAAATTCAATATAATCCCACAGATTCAAGATGCTCGAGGAATCTCATGCAAAACAAACAGTCCTTAAATTATAATTGAAGTGACATTATTTCAAGCTAGAAATTGGTAAGGTAAAGACAATACCATAAACTCTACCACCACTAACCACAACAAACACATAAACAAAACCAAATGTAAACAAGATGTAGCTAACAAGCCCAAAGGGGCAATTAAATAGAATCATGAAAGTAATTTCCACATGCTCTATCGTTAGACTATTACATGCTTCGCAGAGGGTAAAAGATCACAACAATGAAGCTATACATTATGCACACACATGTATATGGCAGCAGTAGTATCATAAAACAAGTGACCAAATGTCTATATATCAAGTTTGGCAAAATAGCCATGAAGTTAATGAATGGGCCTCACTCACAATCTGTGAGACTCCATGGCTGCGAGTGTGCATCATCTCTGGACTAAAATCCTATGCTCACTCGTTGCAATCGTGTCAAATCTGGCTCTGTGCCTTTAAAGGACTAGGTAGAAACTATCCCTGTGGGTTTCTAAGGCTATATATATATCTTTAAAGGGCAGAAAGCCTCATCTTTTTCCTGAGGAGCAGCTGGGGAGCTCAAACTACTGACCTTGTGGTGAGCAGCCCAACACATAACCCACAACACACGCCACCTGGGCAACAAATAACATGAAGAGATGCCTGAAATCATTAACTACTAGAAAGATGTCAATCAAAACAACAATGCCATCTCATCCCAACTATCACACACACACACACACACACACACACACACACACACATGCACACGGTTACCAAAAAAAAAACAGAACTCCGCTGGAATGAGCTGAGAACTTTCCTAGGAGGCATTTTCCCCAATAGGCAAGCATCCAGCAACTTGCTCTGACTTAGTGCACCCAGTGGCATCGCCTGGGAAGGTTCTCTCTGGTCACAGTGAATTTTTTCATACAAGCAAGTTTCGCTCAAACCTCACTTTTTGTGATGGCCGTTTTAAGAGAACAGTGTGCAGCTGTGAAATTTTGTTTCCTGCTCCTTGGGAAAAATGCCACAGAAACCGTTGTGATGTTGAACACAACTTACAAGCACAGTGCTATGGGAAAAACTCAAGTGTATGAGTGATTTTTTTCCTTTCAAAAAAGGTAAAATTTTGATTGATGATAAACATCGTTCTGGATGTCAGTCAACTTCCCAAAACTTCCCAAATGGATGAAAATATCCACTCGTAGTGCATGTGGAGCTCATTCCACCAGGTCAGACTGTTAATCAAGTTTTCTCTTTAGAGGTTCTCAAAAGATTGTGCAACAGTGGGCAATAAAAAAAGGCCAGATTTGTGGCAGAAGAAGGACTGATTTTGCCACCACCTGCTCATGCAGCCATCTCAGTGCTCCAGTTTGGGGCAACAACAGCATGACTCTCTTGCCCCACACACCTTACTGACCTCACTCTGTGAAACTCTTTTGTTCGCATGACTAAAGAGGGACATATAGGACAGAGATCTGATAACATCGAGGAGGTGAAGAAAAAAATGAGGGAGGTGCTGTCAGCCATCCAAACAGATGAGTCTAAAAATGTTTCCAAGAATGGAATTGCAGATTTGACAAATGTATTACATATAACAGAGAGTACAGTATTTTGAAGGTGATAAGGTTTTGTGAAAACATTTAAATACATCACTTTGGAAAAAAAAAATCCTGTTTTGGGGGGGTTACCCCTCATATATAAATATATATACATGTGTATATATACACATACATATACACACACATATACAGAAAACAACAAATGTTACTGAGTGTGTGAGTGACTGGGACTCTCATACCCTGCTGGTGGGATTGTCAAATGGTTGTACCACTGTGGAAAATAGTATGAGGCTTCTTTAAAAAGTTAGAAACATAGATGCCAAATGATGCAGCAGTCCCACCATTACATATATTTCCTATAAAAATAAGAGCTGTGACATAGATATAGTCCCATCTATGTTCATGACAGTATTATTTATAATAGCAAAAGGATGAAAACAACCATTTGCCCATTGCCAGATGCATGCATCAACAGAGGTACATACACACAATGGAATATTATGCAATGTTAAAGGATAGGAATGAATCCTGGAAACATCTCACAATATGCATGAACCTGGAGGGCATTATGCTGAGCAGAACAAAAGAACAAATATTTTGAGACAACTATTACAAAAAGTCAAGAAAAGGATTATGCGCTGAGAAACATTTTTTGATGGCTACCAGGGATGGGATGAGGGAGGGAAGAAAATCATTAACTATTGGGTTGTGGGTTAGGCATTGTGCTACTAACTATAGGTTTGTGGTTCAAATCCACTGGATGATCTGAGGCAGAAAGATGAGTCTCTACTCCTGCAAAATTTACATGGTCCGAAATGTATACAGGGTCACGATGCATTACAGTCAACTCGATGACAGTGAGTATAAGTCAGAAACAACTCAGTGGCAGTGAGTTTGCTGTGTGGTTTTAGTTTGAACATGTATTATACATCCTTCAAACCTGGAACTGAACCACCCCCAGAGATCAACTCTCAGCTGAACAACAAACAGGCCTATCAAGTGAACACTAATACCCAGGAGTGACCATACACCTCAGCATTTGCCATAAAATTCAGTAGAAAGAAAGGAACAGGAATGATGGGAGAATGAAAAGAGGGTGTAAGAGGCCTGTTAGGGCGTGATCAATGGCAATGTAACGGAGAGGAATCACTGAAACCCAAATGAAGGCTGAACATGAGAGTGGGACAAGAGGAAAGTAAAAGGAAACATAGGAAAGAACTAGGAGGCAAAGGCATTTATAGAGGTCTAAATACAGGCATGTACATATGTAAAGATATTTATATATGAGGATGGGGAAATAGATCTATGTGGATATATTTATAGGTATAGTATTAAGATAGCAGATGGACATTGGGCCTCTACGCAAGTACTCCCTCAATGCAACAATGCTTTGTTCTATTAAATTAGCATTCCATGATGCTCACCTTTCCAACATGATTGCTGAAGACAAAAGCAGGCGCATAAGCAAATGTGGTGAAGAAAGCTGATGGTACCCGGCAATCAAAAGATATAGCAACTGGGGTCTTAAAGGCTTGAAGATAAACAAGCGACCATCTAGCTGAGAAGCAACAAAGCTCCCATGGAAGAAGCACACCAGCCTTTGTGATCATGAGGTATCACAGAACCACAGAAGTATCAGGAATCAAGTAACAAAAAATCCTATCATTTGTGAATGAGGGGGAGTGCAGAGTGGACACCCAAAGCCCATCTGTAGATAATTGGACATCCCCTTACAGAAGGGTCACAAGAAGAGGTGAGCCAATCAGGGAGCAGTATAGCACTGATGAAACATACAGCTTTCCTCTAGTTCTTTAATGCTTCCCACCCACCACCACTATCATGACCCCAATTCTACCTTACAAATCTGGCTAGATCAGAGCATGTACATCGGTACAGAACAGAGCTGGAAACACAGGGAATCCAGGACAGATAAAAGACCCTTAGGACCAACAATGAGAGTAGCCATACCAGGAGGGGA